GTATTTCACGGAGAAAGTTCTATGAGGTGCTGAGAAGAAGGCTTATTCTTTTGTGTTTGGATGAAGTGTTCTGTAAATATCTGTTCTATTTGGTTTATAATGTCTGTTAGCTCCAGAATTTCTCTGTTTAGTTTTTGTTTGGATGACCTGTCTGTTGACAAGAGTGGGGTATTAGAGTCACCCACTATCACTGTGTGAGGGTAAGTATGTGATTTAAGCTATATCAGTGCTTCTTTTACAAAGAACCTTTGTGCTTTTTGCATGTATTTTAAGAATTGTAATGTCCTCTTGGCAGATTTTTCCTTTGATAAGTGTCTTTCTTCTCTTGCTGTGAAAATACATGGTGACCAAGGTAAATCTTATAAAAGAAAACTTTTAATTGGGACTTGCTTACATTCAAAGATTTAGTTCATCATTGTCATGTCATAAAGCATGACATCATGCAGGCAGACATGGTAAGAGTTCTGCATCTGGAGCAGCAGCAGGAGAGAGATACTGACCCTAGTTTAAGCATTTGCAATTCCAAAGCCCATCCCCAGTGACACACTTCCTTTATTAAGGCCACGCCTATTCCCACAAGGCTACACTTCTTAAAAGCTCTCCTTAAGCATTCAAATATATGAGCCTATGGGGGACATTCCTATTCAAACTGCCGCACTAATCTCTTCTGATTAATTTTGGTTTGATGCTTATTTGTCAGATATTAAAATGGCTATACCAGCTTGCTAAGACCACCTTTTTACCCCCCTTTACCCCTAGTTGATGTCTGTTATTGATACTAAGGTGTGTTTCTTGGTTGCAGCAGAAGAATGGATCATTTTTTTATTCATTGGGTTAGTCTGTGTCTCTTTATTTGCAAAATTATGACCATTGATGTTGAAAAAATATCAATGATCAGTGTTTGTTGATTCCTGTTATTTTGTTGATATGTGGTGGTGGTGGTAGTGGTGTTGATGGTGGTGTGTGTGTGTGTGTGTGTGTGTGTGTGTGTGTGTGTTTCCCCTCTTTCTTTTCATTTACTGATCTGAGATTATTTAATCCTTGTATTTTCTTGGGTGTGGTTAAACCTCTTTTTGTTGGAAGTTTTCTTCTAGAACTTTCTATAGGACTGGATTTGTAGTAGATATCTGGTCCTTCTGGATTACAGATTCTCCATTGAGAAATCAGGTCTTACAATAATAGGTCTTGTGGTTATTTGGATATAAATTGTGGCTCATAGGGAGTGATACTATTAGGAGATATATCTTTGTTGGAGTAGGTGTGGCCTTGTTGTAGGATGTGTATCACTGTGAGGGTGGTCTCAGAAGCTTAAGTCTTGCCAGTGTGTTTCAGTCTCCTTCTTGTGCCTGCTCCTTCTGCACACTGCCATGGTTCTTGCCATGATGATAATGGACTAAATTTCTAAAACTGTAAGCCAATCCAGTCCTACCATGGTCATGGTGTGTCTTCTCAGCAATAGAAACCTAACTAAGACGGGTCTGCCTTTATATGTTATGCGTTTTTTCTCCTGTGTAGCTTGTAATATTCTTTCTTTGTTTAGTATGTTTAGTGTTTAGCTTATTATGTGCTAAGACAAATTTCTTTTCTTACTTGGTCTGTTTGGTGTTCTTTAAGTTTCTTGTGTATTGATTGGTATCATCTCCTTTAGGTAAGTGAAGTTTTCTTCTATGATTTTTTTTTGGTGCCCTTGACATTTTTCTACGTCCTCTATTCACATTATTCTTAAATTTGGTATTTTCATAGTGTCCCACATTTCCTGGATGTTTTGTGCCTGATTTTCTTTAGATTTAACATTTTCTTTGACTGAGGTATCCATTTTTTTCCACAGTATCTTTAATGACTGAGAGTCTTTCTTCCATGTCGTATGTTCTTTTGATGAGGCTTGCCTCTAGGTTTCTGCTCATGTCCTCCATATTTGGTTTCCAATTTTCCCTCATTTGGTGATTTCTTTATTGATTCTATTTTCACTTTCAGGTCTTGAGTGATTTTACCCATTTCTTCCCACTCTTTGTTTGTGTTATCATATTTTTCTTTAAGGGATTTATTCATTCCTTTTTTAAGAGCCTCTTTCACACCATAAAAGCTGGTCTAAGGTCTCTGCCTTGTGCTTCAGCTATGTTGCAATTCTCAGAGCCTATTATGGCAGGGTTGCTGGCATCTAGTGGATGCATTATTATCCTGTCTGTTATTGATTATGACTTTTATGCTGGCTTCTAAGTATCTGGGTTTAGGAAGATTTAGTTCTAGGTGCTAATATCTGGTCTTGTTTTTTGTTGGTGGATGCTTAGTTCCTTGGTTTCTGTTGCCTTCTTGGGTTTTTATGAGTGTGTGGTGGCTTTATATTGCTTGTTGGGGAATTCTTTGAGGATCTTGATAGGTGTGGATAGTGGGTCTTCCAGGTAAAATGTGTTTCTAGATATTGGGAGATGACACTTAACAATGTGGATGGTCTAGGTGTATGTGTGGGGGTCTCATGGAGTCCTTAAGTGGGAGGAAAACAGGGTGTTATGCAAGGATCTGCTTAGTAACCTGGGAATGGGGTAAGGGAGTGAGGAAGGCCACAACATGTAGTCTTCTCTAGAGCTGGGAATGACATTGGGGGGTTGAATTTGAAGAAGAGGAGGGAGATTGATGATCTGAAGCTTGCCTACCTACTTTGCTGGTATAATTGCTTCTTTGGCAGGCTTGGTTGGTAGATTATTTAGAAATATCTGTTGAAGCTGGTGTTTGGGATTGCAGGATGTGTGGGAAGAAGGTTAGGATCCACAGGAAATCGTGGTTGAGAGGACAGGGAGATCCCAGCAGGTAGTCTGCTCCCAAGTTGGGGGTGAGACAAGGGGATTGGATTTGGAGAAAAGGCTGGAGAGGTGAAGATCTGAAGCTAGGCTACATGTTTGATGTGAGTGGCCTGTGGGTTCCCAGGGCTTCCTGCTGGAATGGGGATTGTGAGAAAGCAATGAGTGGGAGGAAGGTGAGTTGGAAGGGATGGTTTAATCATGAACACTTAACTTTTCAGGACAGTGACTGTAAGCTTTGGTTACCCCCCCCCAGAAATTCTATCTGTGTGATCCACTGGAGATGACGGAAGGGAGAGAAGCTGCTTCAGATGGTCTGTTACAGAACTGGAGGATTGAATTTTGAGGAGAGGAGGGTGAGGGGAGGATCTGTATTTTGCCCTCTTCTTCATTGGTCAGAGTCTATTTAATATCCTGTGAAAAATAAAGATGTTTAAAAATATCAGAACATAGAGGACTCTAAAATGGCTGATAGACATTTAAGAAAGTGTTCACCATCCTTAGCCATCAGGGAAATGCAAAGCAAAACAACTTTGAGATAGCATCTTACTCCTGTCAGAATGGCTAAAATCAAAAACACGGAAGACAATTTATGCTGGGGAGGATGTGGAAAGAGGGGAACACTCCTCCACTGCTGGTGGGAGTGCCGACTCATGCAGCCACTTTGGAAATCAGTATGGAGATTCCTCAGGAAAATGGGAATCAATCTACCACAAGACCCAGCAATTCCACTCTTAGGCATATATCCTAAAGAGGCAAATTCATACAACAAGGGCATCTGCTCCACTATGTTCATAGCAGCATTATTGTAATAGTGAGAACCTGGAAACAACCTAGATGACCCTTAACTGAAGAGTGGATAGAGAAAATGTGGTGCATTTACATAATGGGGTATTACTCAGCAGAAAAAAAAAGAACAATGTAATCTTGAAATTTGCAGGTAAATGGATGGCACTAGAAGAAGCCATCCTGAGTGAGGTAACCTAGTCACGAAAAGACAAACATGGTATGTACTCACTCATATATGGATTTTAGACATGGATCAGGATAGTGCCAGTCTGCACCTCCACTGACAGAGATTCTGGGAAACAGGAAAGAACCTAAGAGATATATGCCTGGTACCCCAGAGAAGAGGAATGAGGCAAGATCCTCTGAATAGATGGGGAACATGGTGAGGGGTAGGGGGGGGGAGAGGAGCTGGGAAGAAGAAAGGGGGAGAAGAGGAAGAGAGAGTAGGTCATGGGGGAACAGGAAGGTTGAGTGGGGGGTAGAATAGGGGAAAGAGGGAATCATAGGTTAGAAGACAGATCAGACACCAGTGTGACCTCTAGTGATCTAAAGGGATGACACCAATTGGCAAGCTAAGCAATAGTGGAGAGACCACCTTAAATGCCCATTCCTGATAATGAACTTGATGTCTATAACCATCCTGGAGCCTTCATCCAGTGACTGATGGAAGCAGAGGCAAACACCCACAGTCAAACACTGAACTGAACCCATGGAACCCAGTGACAGAGAGAGGAGCGATGAGCAAATTGGCAAAGAATGGGCTGGCAAAACCAGCAGAGACAGCTGATCTGAACAGGGGAGAGATCTTGGACTCCTGACCGACAGCTGGGAGGACAGCATGGGACTGATCCAGACCCCCTGAATGTGAGAGTCAGTGAGGAGGCCTGGGCAACCTATGGGGCAACCTGGGCAGTGGATCAGTGTTTATCCCTGGCACACAAACAGACATCGTGTGTCCATAAACCAAAGAGGAATGCTCTCTCAGCCTGGACTCTTAGGGAAGTGCCTGGACCCTGCCCTGAGTGAAATGACAGACTCTAGATATCCCCTATGTGGAAGTAAATGGCAATAGGGTGGGAGGCTGTGAGGGATGGTGGGGTGGTGCGGGAGGAGGGGAGGGAGAGGGAACTGGGACTGACATGTAAAACAAGCTATTTAAAATTAAAATAATAAAAAATAAAAATATCAGAACAATGCTGGAACTATCCTTAAGAATTAAATATAAAACTAGCAATTTGAAAACTTCTGTGTCTTTATTTCCCTTGATTTTTCTTTCACTTCTGTATATTAATTTGAAGGTCAGAATTTCCTTTGACTTGTTTATTTTGTGCCCTTGGTCTTTGATGCAGGTTCTGATTTGTTACCAGCCTGGCTTGAACTCATGACAACTCTCTTTTTCTCAGTCTCCTGCACATTGGGATTAAAGGAGTATACTACCACAGCCTACCAAGCCTGCTGTTTTAATCATGAGCACTTAACTTCTGAGGACAGAGACTATACCTTTGCCTATCCCGTAAGTTCCATCAGTTTGGGTAAATTTAGTGTTTCTCAAATATGGGGAGCTTATTCAAATAGAACAGAAGTTTTGGGCTGTCTAAAGCCCTAACTCCTGGATGGCTTGGGGTCTCTTTTCTGAATGAGTACAGGAAAAGAGAAGTTAAAGTCCTGATTTGTTTGAGAATGGCTTTTTCTGTGCCCTTTAGCTCTCATCCACAGAATGGCCATTGGTACCTCTCACCCACAGCCTGGCCACTGATACCTCTCACCCACAGCATGGCTATTGGTATCTCTCATCCAGAATGCTGGGTCAACAGTTTTAGTTTAACCGTATTGGCTTCCTGGTCTACTTCGCAATTTTGGAAGACTTTTATGTAACTTTCACCAATGCAATTAAATAATCTTCAGAAATGGTTGGCCAGCATGCTGAAGCAGTTATTGCATGTAAAGAAGTGTAATATTTCTTTAGATCTGATTTTGTTTCTGTGTTCCCCAGGCACTTGTGTGAACCATCAGTGAAAAGAGGAGGCTAGCTGAGAAGCAAGCATCTCCAACCACAGCTCGCATAAGTGTAAGTAAGTAAGTATAAATATAGCTGATTTAGAGTAAGACCTGCAATGAACAAGCCAGGTAAAATCGAAACTGCACAGAACAGAAAGTTCTGATCATGAAGTCAGCCAAGCTCAAAATGGCTTTATTTGATATTGTTACAGGATATAGGGCTGTAATTAAAACAGAAGGCCAACATATTAGGTCCAATTCTTAATTGCATTAGCAGAGGAAAAGTAATTATTAGAAAAACATATACCCATGCAAGTTGTCTTGTATGTAGGGATTTGCAGGGTGATTAAATTCATGGTGGGCCAAAGAGTTCATGGATCCACAGAAGCTAAATGGTATTGCTTGGTATAAAAATCTAATTGGGTAGTTTAAAATGTATGACTTCCACTGCAATAAGCTTCAGGAAATGAAAGTGAAGTGTTACCCAGAGATCGCCATATAAGGCACCCTGGGCATGTTTCATCTATCCAGTGACTTTCCACTCTTATCCATTTTCTTCAATTAGGATTCATGGAATAAATTAAGCACTGTCATTTTTTTGAGCTGTACAACGAACATGTCTAGTAGTATTAAAAAAGATTTTGAAAAAATGAATGAGTAACATTTTTGTATAAATTCTTTGATATGACAGTTTGTTTCAGAGTGTTACTACATTGAAGGCTTTAGCTACTAATTAACAGTGCAGGTTTCATTAATTGTTTTCTGGGTTAATAGGCTTTGTTTAAGAAGAGTGGGGTAATTAGGACCCTAAACTAAGTACCACTGATGGTAGAGGATTTGATTTTGGTGAATGCTTTATTCTGTTATACATTGATAACTACTGTGAAAATATTCCCCTGGAAGCATCAGCATTAAATCTCAAGCAGCGTACGATGCAATTTGTGTCAACTGCCTCACTGTAGATGCTCACTAAGACAACATCACTCTGAGTGCAGTGAGCAATCATCCTTAAGTGGCAGGGCTATGCTAACCACACTGTAAAATGAGCAGTCTGGAATGAGAGATGATTTAGTTCCATGATCCACTTAGGACCTGAGGTGTATTCAGCTATGGCTGACTGGAGGTTATTAGGACTGCGGAGCTCGGAAGGTCGAACCTGTAGTCATGCTGTTGCTGATCAGCCTGCTGGGAGCAGGCAGCCAGCAGACATTCAGTGATGCTGCAAATGGCTTTTTGGCTGGCAGCACCTTCCCATGCTGTTTCCAAACTACTGTAAAATGGTATACATAACAGGCCAGGAGGGGCCAATTTGCCTGTCATCAGGTATTCAATGAAAGGCAGTTTTGGAGCTTGCTCTGAAGCACCTCCAGGTAACTGGCCTCCTGAAAAGCCCTGGGTTGTCATTTTCTTATAAGCACAAGGATGACTGACATCAATAACCAAAGGGGAATTGAGCTGGTGGGGTTCTTGCACTTTCTCAAAACAAAACAAACAAAAGAACAACCAATTTACAGTGTGGGCTGGAGCTATGTATCAGTGCCTAAGAGCTCATACTGCTCTTGCACATGACTGGAACACAGACCCAAGCACCCACATTGTTTGGCTCACTACTGCTTGTAACCTAAGCTCCAGGGGATCTGATGCCCTCTTCTGGACTTTTCAGGCACCTGCAGTCACATGTGCATAAACCCACACTCAGATACACATGTACATATAAATAAAAATAAGATATAGCTTATAAGCTAATTTATAATCTGAGTCTATTCTTTATTTTGAGAGGGTGATAGATAGTAAATTTAGGCATCATATATATATATATATATATATATATATATATATATATATATATATATATCGAACCACTGAATGCACACTATGTTTTTGGTCAGCAGTTCTTAAGCTGTGGGTCATGTCTCCCTTGGGATCAAGAGACTCTTTCACAGGGGTCACCTAAGACCATCAGAAAACACAGATATCTACATTAAATTCATTATGGTAGTAAAATTACAGTTATTAAGTAGCAAGGAAAATAATTTTATGGTTTGGGGAGTCACCATAACACAGGGAACTACATGAAAGTGTCACAACATTCAGAAGGTTGAGAAACCACTGGTATAGGTTCTATGTCTGAATATTCTTTCCTTATACTAGATTAAGTGCCAAAGGGCCAAAGGAAAAGTGAAAGTAAAATGAAAAATAAAGGTTATTTCTTTAAGGGATTTATTTATTCCCTCTTTAAGAGCCTCTTTCACACCATAAAAGCTGGTCTAAGTTCTTTGCCTTGTGCTTCAGCTATGTTGAAATTCTCAGAGCCTATTGTGGCAGGGTGCTGGAATCTAGTGGATGAATATTATCCTGTCTATTATTGATTGTATTTTTTTATGCTGGCTTCTAAGTATCTAGGTTTAGGAAGATTTAGTTCTAGGTGCTGATATCTGGTTTTGTTATTGTTGGTGGATGTTTAGTTCCTTGGTTTCTGTTGCCTTCTTGGGTTGTTATGAGTGTGTGGTGGCTTTGTATTACTTGATGGGGAATTCTTTTGGGATCCTGATAGGTGTGGATAGTGGGGCTTCCAGGTAAAATGTGTTTCCAGATATGGGGAGGTGACACTTAAGAATGTGGATGGTCTAGGTGTATGTGTGGGTCTGATGGGGTCCTCAAGTGGGAGGAAAACAGAGTGCTCTACAGGGACATGCTGTTTTGAATTTGGGCTTTCCAGTCTCTATAAGAATGACACATTAATTTATTTTTTTTACAAATTATCTAACCATGGGTATCTTTTTCTATAACACAAATGAACTAAGGCCATCAGGGTCAGAACATTGAAGGGTAAGTCCATGTTAATATATCCATTTAACATCACTCATTCCTAGCTTTTGGGATGGCAGAGAGAAAGTCCAATTCTAAAACAAAGATTTTAGGTGTTTAAAATCTTGATACAAAACCTTACTCAGGACCTACCTGTCCCCCCCCACACCCCTGAAATAAACACTTTAGGAGGTATTCTTTTATTATTATTTCATTTATTTTACATACCAATCACAGTTTCACCTCCTCTTCTCCCCTTCATTTCCCCCACATTCCATCTATCCACCTCCATCACTCCTCCACCAAAAGGAGCAACAAAGCATGGTACATTAAGATGAGTCAGGACTAAGCTTGCTCTCCCTGTATTAAGGCTGGGTGAGGCATCCCATCATGGGGAATAGTTTCCCCTAAGCCAGACCAAGCATCAGGGACAGGTCCTGAACACACTGTTAGGACCCCCACAAACAAACCACACTACACAACTATCACACACATACAGAGGGCCTAGATCATTCCCATGCAGGCTACCTAGCTGGTGGTCCAGCATCTGTGAGCTCCTACTAGCTCAGATCAGCTGTCACTGTGGGTTCCCCCATCATGTTCTTGACCACCTTGACTCATACAATCCCTCCATTCTTTCTTCAACATGACTCCTAGAGCTCAGCCCAGTGCTTAGCTGTAGATCTCTGCATCATCTTTCATCAGTTACTGGATGAAGGCTCTCCGATGACAATTCGGGGAGTGACCAATCTGATTACAGAAGACCAGTTAAGATGCCTTCTTTTTTTAAAAAAAAATATTTAGCTTATTTATTTATTTTTTCAATATATGTTTTTATTTAAATTAGAATATGAATGTTTTGCATGTCAGTCCCAGCTCCTTCACCCACCCCTCCTCCCTTGTCCCTCTACCAACCCCCCAGCCCCCCCAACCCCCCACCCAATCCCCATATCATTCCCCAGGGAGGGTGAGGCCTTTTTGGCTATTGCTAGAAATCTTAGTTGAGGTTATTCTAGTGGATTTCTGGGGGTTTCCCTGGCACCAGGTTTCTCTCTAACCCCCATGTGATCTCCACATCAAGATATGTCCTTTATTACCTTCCCTCTCTGTCCTGACCCCAATCTGCCCAACCTAATCCCTGATGTTCCCATCCTTCTCCCCTCTCCTTCCCCTAAGAATGGATAAAGAAAGTGTGGTACATTCACTCAGTGGTAAAAAACAATGACATCATGAAATTTATAGGCAAATGGGTGGAACTAGAAAAAATCATTCTGAGTGAGGTAACCCAGACCCAGAAAGAAAAACATGGTATGTTCTCACTCATTAGTGGATATTAGATGTAAACCAAAGGATAATGATGCTACAATTCGTAGCCCCAGAGAAGCCAGGTAATAAGGAGGACCCAAAGAAGGATGAATTGATTTCTCTGGGAAGGGAAATAGATGAGATCTCCTGGATAAACTGGGGGAGGGAGAGGAGTTATTCTTAAAAATGTGACAGCATGTGATGCTCTCTAGCATTCTTGATTCTCTTTCATTTTAAATGTTGGAATGCACATGTACAAACTTGATTTTGTGATCTCTGAATGCTTTGTGATCTGAAATTTGAAAACATTGCATCAAAAAAGAAATGAAAACTGGGTTTCATCCTGTTTGATACTATGGGTAGATCTTAAGCACCAAACATGGGAAACATCGTTCTGTTATCATTATGTATGTGAAACTCAGACATTTCAGACCCAAAAGAACATTTATCAAGACAGAGTCTCTGACAGAGTCATGGCTTTCATTTAGTATCTTTATTTGAGATCTCTCTTTTTCCATAAAAATGTGCTTATTTAATTATGTTTACCTCATTAATTCTGTTAATTACTTTTATTTTCTATGCTTAGTGAGTTCAAACTTTATTCCTGATATTTTTATTTCTTGGAAATTACTTAATCACTCTAATATAATAAAATTACATTCATGTATTTTAAATAAAACATTAAAATACTGTATTCTATTTTAAAACATTATATTTTTCATTAAAAGCTTTAAAGTTTGCCCATTATGGTTTTATTCTAACACGAGTAAACTGAATTAACAGGAAAATTACCTTTTAATAACCAAACAGGGCTTAGATGCACAGAGACCAAATGTGACATTGTGTTCATTATTGCCATTCTCCAAGATAGTCTTGATGGCAAGCCAGTATCCACCTGCTATTTAAACGAGATATTTTTGTTCTTATGAAGCAAAACAGAGGATCCATTTGGATCTT